ATACTGTATATCTCATTTTTTAAATAAATTTTAATAAATAAAATCATGTTTTCAGTGTTATTCCGCTGCTTATACACATTTCTTAATAACTATCGAGATAATTATATTATAGAAATGTTAGTAAGTTACGTAGGAGTAAAGCTTACCGACTACAAAAAAAGTCTAGTAATCAAAAAACCTTCGGTTGCTACGGACTTCGCAACTGGACAAGGAGAGCAAATTGCGTGAATCTAAGCTGCTAAGGCTAAGTTGGATTCTGGAGCATGGTCTATGGACGAATTTCTGGATAATCGTTCTTGCTTTAAAAAACAAGTCGATGATGGTATGTTATAAGGCATTTGGGGGATGAAAGTATAATAAATAAATTCAGTGAATTGAATAAAAAGGGTTCCACGATTCAACACAGCTGTATATCATAAAATTATCAGTAAAGTAAGTTGGTCAAAAGTAATAAAGTAACGATGATGATATTGTGATTTGAGGGTAACGTTTGCGTAAAGAAATTTGTTTTTCTTCGTTTAGTGATGGCTTCATGATATAAACTATAAAACTTCCTTCATATATTTAATGACAATTTATGAATATTTGTAAGATTTGAATATTTATTTTATTTTTTCAACAATTGAAGTTGAAGAGAAAGTGTAAAATTTTTTGGAGTAATAAATGTAGCATCTAAGAGTACGCGTGCGATACTTTTAGGTATACAAAAATATAAGTTTCAATACGATCTTGGCATGTTCGTATATACAAATGCACGGATGTGTCGACTAGTTTATGATTCAAATAATTTATTAATGCATACAGAATAAATCAAAACTTAGTAAATAAGAATCAAAAATATGTCATTAGATTTACTAAGGTGATTGTATCACTGAAAATATCTGAGCCCGAAAATCAATACATCCGATGCCTTTTAATTTGTTTTAACTGACACCTTAAAAACGTATTGTAAAGCTAACACTAGATATTATTCCTGAAGAAGAACTAGTAATCGATGATAAACCTAATGCAATATCGTGTACGGATTCGTCACTCGAAAGAGTGAATATTTTAAATGCACTCGTAATCATTTTTAAGGGAGAAAAAAATAAAGGAGCAACTGAAAATATATTTTTGTATAAAATTTTGCAGTCACGCTATGGAAACATAAGTTTTAAGAGACATTTTTTTCTTTATGAATAAATATTTTTATAAAGATTTTACAAATATTGCTTCCTTTAAAATATATGGCATATTTTTAATATTTGAAGGTCATGTGCATATATGATTATGGAAAATCGTTTCTGCATTATTATTTTCCTGTACTAAACGTAATAAGGTGGATGTCCCAGTACTCGCTCACTTAAGCAGACGAAATGTTCCAATAGTCGGTCACTTTTTTTCTTTTATGGGCCTTCGTTATATTTTTAATTGAGTTTAATTGCTTAGTGTCTGAATAGCTACCCGATTCATATATGTTTTGAAAATTTACAGTGAAAAAATCAGCCAGATGACTGACTATTGGGACATGACCGAGTACTGTGACATCGACCTTATACCTTTTCCTACGATTTTCCCACATTGTTTCATGAAGGTACATCGAAAACATCAAAAATTGGAGTTATGTTTTTTCATAACTCAACGCCTCTGTTTTTTGTGCGTCATAATATTCTTATTCCCTTTAGAAAACCCGTAAAACTTGTTATTTTGGCTCTATATTGCTTACTTTTAAAGATAAGGCGTATTTTGTAGTATTTGGAGGTTATACCATATTATTAATACCCGTGTAATCAATACTGGCTATCTGCATCGATCTGCCATACATGCAATAATTATTTGTTTATGTACTTTAATAAAATAATAGTATTAACTGGTATACATAGTATTAATATTATTAATTTTATTAATTTTAATATTCAAAGTTGCCACCAATTACCTACTGGTTACATAATTGTAGCGCCTCAGCTTAGATGGGTGTGAGAGTTGTGTGTATGCATGCCGATCAAAAAAGTGCTCCCATTTGTTTAAGTAACATCCGTTTGCAAAAATTGTTTTTGCATTTGATTCGCAATCTAATTCCCTTCAATTTTTTTTTTTCATTTTTCAGCCAGCGAAAATGGGAGTGTACGCTTTTTTCTTACACTTTCTGGCTGGTGGATCCCTTCACTGGCTGACTCTCTATCTCTC